CACATGGACCACACAGCTGTTATGTATTCTGTGATGAAAAATGCTACAAGCAGCCACCAAAGGCAAGATCTAATAGCAGAGGAAGATTTCCCATCAGTCAAGAGGGATCACACGACTTGCCTATAGAGAATACTTGCCTATAGAGAAACAGAGAAACATAGGGGAATACTTACCAATAAAGATTGGAGACTACTTGCCCATAGGGAAAGACTGAAGGATAGTTGCCTATAGGAAAATATAGGGGAATACTTGCCTATAGACAAACATTGGAGACTACTTGCCCATAGAGAAACATTAGAGACTACTTGCTCATAGAGAAACATTGGAGGATATTTGACCATAGGGTAACATTGGGGGATACTTGCCCATAGATAAACATAGGGGAATACTTGCCTATAGAGAAACATTGAAGGTTATTTGACCATAGGGAAACATGGGGGACACTTGCTTATAAACATTAGACTACTTGCCCATAGGAAAACATTGAGGGACACTTGCTTATAGGGAAACATTGGGGGATACTTGCCCGTAGATAAACATAGGGGAATACTTTCCTATAGAGAAACACTGAAGAATATATGACCATAGGGAAACATTGGGGGACACTTGCCTATAGAGAAACATTGGAGGATATTTGGCCATAGGAAAACATTGGGGGACACTTGCCCATAGAGAAACATTGGGGGATATCTGACCATAGATAAACTATGGACCTTATCACATGGGGTCTAAAGCAGAGCTAATCCAAAGGGTACCTGTAGCTAAAACGTATTATTTCCCCATGTTTACACACGACGTTGCACCAAAACTCGACAGAACCCGAAGCTAATCTGTAGCGAGTGAAGAGCTTTTGGCATTCGGTTTTTTGAGGAGTACAAGCGAGCCTTCGGAATAGCTTCGCAATAGCCGCGCAGGCGAAATGCTTATGATCACGCAATGCGTGTTGTGAAGCCTTTCCCCGCCCCGACCCATGGTTCCCCGCGCCGCTTCCCATGGATCCGTGGGGAAGCATCTTATGGCGCGCCCTTCCTGTTTGGATCGGGCAACAAACGGGACTGGAAAACATGGTCCTCTCTGGAAATTTATGGGATTTTGGAGCTTGTGTGTGCACGGAGGATACGTTTCCAGGATCCGTGTCCCAGGAACCGCGATAAATGCGATATGACAGTAATTGCGTGTGGTGGGAAGCGGGAGCTCTTTCAGTTCATTTCGATATAGAACTGAATTTACTCTTATTTGGGTTACTTTTCGCTTCGTGGCCAGGGTGTGATAAGGTCCATAGAGAATACTTGCTCATAGAGAAACATAGGGGAATACTTGTCTGCAGGGAAAGACTAGAGCAGGGGCCGGCAACCTACGGCCCGAGGGCCAGTTCCGGCCCAGGGCCTCGTGCTTACCGGCCCAGGCAGACCCCTGCCGCTGCTCTGCCACTGCCACCGCCACCGCGCGTTTTGGTTGCTGCGCGGCCACACGTGCCGCACCTGCCATTTTGATTTCCAAAATGGTGGCCGCAACGCGTTTGTGCATGCACAGGAGTACTGCGCATGTGCAAACGAGTCACGGACGCCATTTGGAAAACAAAATGGCGGCTGCGAGTGGCGGCCGCCATTTTTGTTCTCCAAAATGGCGGCCGCAACTTGTTTGCGCATGCGCAGTACTCCTGCGCACGTGCAAATGTGTCATGGCCACCATTTTGGAGAACAAAATGGTGGCCATGACATGTGCGGCGGCGGCTGTGACAGCGCGTGTGGCGGCAGTGGCAGCGGCGGCAGCAGCGCGCATGGGGGGGTTGCATGCAGCAGCGGGGGTTATGCGTGCGTGGGCCGCCATTCCACCCCCGGCCCGCCAGAAGGGACGACTTCGGGGGACTGGCCCCGGCTCAAAAAGGTTACCTACCCCTGGATTGGAGGATAATAATAATAATAAAAATAATAATAATTTTTATTTATATTTCCCGCCTCTCCCTGCGGATCGACACAACATATACAAACTACAGGATTGCAAAAATACATAAAAAGCATAATTCCAACGCTAAAATATTGACATTATAAAAATTCAATAAAAACATGATTGTCACTCACATCCAAAAGCCAAGTAATCAATCAAAATAATGCTATTAACTTGGAGATCCATTAAGAAGATCATGTGCGTAGGCC